CAAGATACGGGATAGTTCTAGAAACAAGAGGGCGTGAGAATTGTCACGTGATCTCGATGACGCAACAATAACTTAGCTTGCTGAACAAATACGTAAACCAAATAACTACATAACAGAAGAGAGGCGGAAACTTCTCATTAAATATTTCATTGACCGAACAGCATTCTACGAACTAATGTGAATTCTTCACTGATTCTCGTATTTATAACTAATCTATCCCTTTGTCAAATTTACTAGATCTTAACCTCATGTGTCCTCTAGTTAACATTTAATTAAAACTGAAAATATAGCCTACATCATCAGCATTATGTGATATATATCGAAATAGCTATAATATTCTATTACATTATCAGGTAATGAACTTATTGAAATCCATAAAACAGCTTAAGTTAAGAACATAAAGATAGAAGTGTATATATTTAAACCATAAATAAAGAAGGAAAATAATACCTTTACTGTGTTTATATTGTATAGTTGTTACAGTATATTAGTTTGTATTCTGATTATAAAATTGTTTACATATCTCGTGAATGCTTGTAAATCCAACCTGCCTCCTCCCCTGTTGCTCAGCGACAAGTCTGAGGGCTTATAACGCGAAAAATCTGATTTCTATATACCCAAGGTAGGCAGAGAAAAGATAGCCCGTTGTGCAGCTTTGTGCAAAACAAACAAACGCACCCAGTATAATAATTCTGCAATAATAACGTGTACTTTCTTACAATGTGTATTTTAAATTAAGATAGGAATTTACACGTCTTGGATAGAGGGCGCTGTTGGGAATTTATTCACTTTGGATGGTTTGTTATGTATGAATAGAGAAGTAAAAGTTTAATTAAAATATTTGCAACAAATGTGAGTTTTTACATAAATTGAAAGAGCGTAAACGTTTGTAATATAATAGGCAAATTTCAATAGTCGTGGAAATTATTTCCTGTTTTTGTTCTCTATTTCATTACATGGAAATAGTTTTGTTTCGTAATATCAATTATAAACAGTCAAACAGCAATAGCTACCATTTGTCTATATTTACTTAAATAAGCAAGGTGTAATATTATAGGTTTAAACAGTTCAGATTAATTTATGTCTGATCTTGTACATATCTAACTATGAAGGCAAAAAATTTACTTCGTTTTATATTAAATAAGTATAAGGAATGGCAATAACGAAATTGAAAGTGTCAGTTTTTCTTTTTAATAAAAGCATTTTATGTAAAATACGGTTGAGTTTTAAACAATTTCTTTGCGAGTTTATTTCAAATAAAAGAATTCACCGAGGAAGAAAATGAACCCCCAAAACTATATTCATTTAAAAATAGAATAATAAATCAACGAAGTTAGTATTTTCCTCATGAATTATTCACTGTGATCTCATGTAGAATGTGAACCACAATACTGTCCGTGAGTTGAATATAATATTATAATCTGTGAAATATTCAACTTGAACATACGTTAAATTTTATAATTTAAGGTGGAATGGATTGAATAATATGATTAAAAACTGCGGGACCACTGTTAGGGTTTCCTAATTCGGAATTTCAGATTGCCAAGTGGTTTAATTACTATATAATCGAGAAGCCAAACGACTATTTAAGTATTTATGTAAAACGTAGGTTGGATAGGTTATAGACCACTATCGGATGAAACCTCATTTTTAATCCACTGGCGAGTAATCTGTAAAATACATTTCAGGCGTTATCAAGTTTTATTAAAATAATTTGAATATAATTTATTTTTGTCGTCTGTACATAAAAAAACAACTTAAGAAGGATTATTTGTTTGGGAAATTTCATCATAAAAACAAGATAGCAGTCAACATGGGAAGGGTCGTGTGTCTGAGTTTTTTATTTTTTGTAAGCCCAAATAACCAGACATATTCATGCTGGTATTACACTAGAAATTTCGCACAGCGATGATTTTAAGAGCTGATAACGCTAAGATTCGGGGTTCGATCTGTAAGGTGGCTACAGTGTAGATAGCCCACTGTTCAGTTTTATGTTTAACAATAAACAAGCACTTGATAATCCGGTAACATTATGAGGAAGACATGTTCATAGAGAAATGGGTGAATTATTATCAAATCTCTAGGAAGCTTGAATTATAATGCCAAACTGAAACAAGCACTTGATAATCCGGTAACATTATGAGGAAGACATGTTCATAGAGAAATGGGTGAATTATTATCAAATCTCTAGGAAGCTTGAATTATAATGCCAAACTGAAACAAGCACTTGATAATCCGGTAACATTATGAGGAAGACATGTTCATAGAGAAATGGGTGAATTATTATCAAATCCCTAGGAAGCTTGAATTATAATGTCAAACTGAAACAAGCACTTGATAATCCGGTAACATTATCAGGAAGACATGTTCATAGAGAAACGGGTGAAACATTATCAAATCCCTAGGAAGCTTGAATTATAATGTCAAACTGAAACAAGCACTTGATAATCCGGTAACATTATCAGGAAGACATGTTCATAGAGAAACGGGTGAAACATTATCAAATCTCTAGGAAGCTTGAATTATAATGCCAAACTGAAATAATAATTTTTCTTACATTATAGCATTCAGGCTCTGTAATTCAACTTAACAACCCATGTCAAGACGTACTTAAAGCTAATCCTCAAAGCGCCTTTGTTATTCATCTAATTTTTGATCCTATGTGATTTCTTAGTTAACAGGTTCCAATCTTTCCTCACCACAATCGTTGCACGTGGCGACATCTATCAGAGTTATTAGGACCTACCTGCTTAAATAATAGTTTCTCGAATTTCTAAACATTTATTTAAATTCAGTCGAAAACATAAATAAATCCTTTTCTGCTAAATCCAAACATTTGAATTAATAATAAGTATTAACTTAAACTAGTTTAACAGTTTGAAGTTGTTAATTACTACATCTTTTCTCTTTCAAATTCTTCAGGAGTAAAGAGGCTGAAGACATGTATGTTCAAGCTCTACGAATTGACTCCAATAATCCCAATCTATACTACAATGTAAGTGCTCTAGAGTAGTGTAGGTCGGCTAATGCTACAACGTTAGTGCTTTAGAGGGGAAGAGGGTTATACCAACTAGTATGTGAGTGGTGTTATGTTGACTAGTACAATGTAAGTGTTTGAGAGTGATATTACGTCAGCTAGAAGTATAGTGGGTTTTAGAGTGGTGTTACGTCAATTAGTACTACAGTAGAAGTGTTACGTCAACTAATATTACAATTTAAGTGTTTCAGTGTGGTGTTACGTTGACTAGTACTAGAATTCAGTTGTTCTAGAATGGTATTATGAAGTTCGTATGTCATGCTACGTAGCCTACAGAATACACAATTCTTCTTTGTTCCATAGCATGCGCACGTTTTACTGAAGTCATGGCAGTACAAATTAGAACTTTAAGCGTCCCTTACGTAACGTCGTTTTAGTGCGTATTGGCTGATTGACAGACAACACACTACTGTATAATGGTGCGAGTGGTTAAAATATTTGAACCCTCAAGAGGGCCTATGTTAACTAGTACTACAAAGTGATAAAGATAAAATGAACAAAAATTTAAACAACACACTGAACCATATTTTTAAACACTGTTTCTCACGTGATTTTATAAATAACTCATCATGAAGAATTATTCGCTTTTGCAAGTTTGTTTTGAGATAGTGACATTTTATAACAACAAATACTCTTCCTTTTTTACATAAAATAATACAAATTTACTTTCTACATTGATCGTTTTTTTCATTGCGCGAAATACACGCTTTTTTAACATTTTTTATTTCTGTTTATAATTTTGCTGAACTCCTCCCATTAGCAATTATTTAGTTATTGTAACGTTTATATTGAGTAAAAATATTTACTTTAAAAATATATATTTCATTATAGCTTGGCGTCGTATTGATGGACCAAAGAAGGAGGAAAGAAGCTTTAACACTATTCAACAGAGCTTTAGAGCTTGAACCAGAACATAAGGTAAGTCAACAACACTTTGGAATTAGGACTAAAAACCTGAATTCAAAAGTTAATAAATATGGACAAATCAAAATAATCAAATATGGTTGAACGCAGCTTAAACTCATAACACAAACTAGCACCGACAATAGAGTCCAAACATCAACTGAGAACACTTGGTTTAACAAAGCTGTTAAATAAAATATGGACACCAGGTAAAAACACTTGATTTAACAAAGCTATGAAACACAATATGAACACTAAGTAAGAACACTTGGTTTAACAAATCTATTATAAAACAGAATTAGGTTACAAGGTAAAAACATTTGGTTTAACAAAGCTATTAAACACAACATCAACACTGTGTAAGAACGTTTTGTTTAACAAAGGTGTTAAAAAACAGAATTAGGTTACAAGGTAAAAACATTTGGTTTAACAAACCTATTAAACACAACATGGACATAAGGTAAGACCACTTGGTTTAACAAATATATTATAATACAGAATTAGGTTACAAGGTAAAAACATTTGGTTTAACAAAGCTATTAAACACAACATCAACACTATGTAAGAACGTTTGATTTAACAAACCTATTAAACACAACATGGACATAAGGTAAGACCACTTGGTTTAACAAATATATTATAATACAGAATTAGGTTACAAGGTAAAAACATTTGGTTTAACAAAGCTATTAAACACAACATCAACACTATGTAAGAACGTTTGATTTAACAAACCTATTAAACACAACATGGACATAAGGTAAGACCACTTGGTTTAACAAAGATATTATAAAACAGAATTAGGTTACAAGGTAAAAACATTTGGTTTAACAAAGCTATTAAACACAACATCAACACTATGTAAGAACGTTTGATTTAACAAAGATGTTATACATCAGAATTAGGTTACAAGGTAAAAACATTTACTCTTCTGTGTAAGAACGTTGTGTTTAACAAAGCTATTAAACACAACATGGACACGGGGTAAGAACGTTTAGTTTAACAAAGATGTTATAAAACAGAATACCGTCACGAGGTATGAACATTTGGTTTAACAAGACTGTGGAACGTAATATAAACACAAAGTCAGAACTCTTCAAATGGTTGAAGTTGTAGAAGAATCCAAATACTAGCTAAGATTATTTATTTAAGAGACCTAGGGATGTATATCGCAGATAGCCTCGTGTAGCTTTGCGTAAAGTCAAATCGAACAGAACTTTAAAACACTTTCTTAAAATACAAAATGTAGCAGCATGCACAAAAGCAGAATACAATATCGCAAATGTTATTATCAAAGATATGTGGCATAGAATCAAATACAAAAGTTAAATTTAATTTTGACAACATGATATTTCTGTGATTAGCCTTTGTGCTTCATTGCTGGAATTGCAGACATTTGATCTTTAGAAATTAAATGTAGAGATTAATATAATTTTTCAGGAAGCTCTTTTCAACATGGCGATGTTATTGCAAGGCGGGAACAAGCAGACGACAAATGACGAGGTGAACAGAAGGTTGTATGACCGTATACGTAATGTTTTAAAGTCATATTAATATAAAATGATTTTCCTTCCGTACGATTAATATTCTATGTTCTTACATAAAGATTATTTAAGTTTTCCGATCTCACTTATTATGTTTATTATATAATTTTGTGATGTTTTATTCGATTAAACACATATTTCCAGTTTGTAAAGAGTAGATGTGGTTTTCTACGTAATATTCTATTCAGTCAGCACGGGTTTCCACGTCTCACAGTGAACAAAAATACTTTTCGTAACGCTTGTGTATTTGTAACGTGTTGGGAGTGCTTTAAGTATACAACAAACCGTAACACGCACTGTTTTATGTATAATATATAGACTTAAGTCCTTTGGTGAAGGTCCCTAAGTACCATCTGAAAGTCGTCTGGCACTAATCTAGCATCGATTGTTGTAGTAACCGAAGTCTAAGTACCATTCGAAAGTCGTCTGGCATTAATCTAACATCGCTTGTTGTAGTAACGGAAGTCTAAGTACCATTCGAAAGTCGTCTGACACTACTCTAACGTCGCTTGTTTTAGTAACGGAAGTCTAAGTACCATTCGAAAGTCGTCTGGCACTACTCTAACATCGCTTGTTTTAGTAACGGAAGTCTAAGTACCATTCGAAAGTCGTCTGGCACTAATCTAACATCGCTTGTTGTAGTAACGGAAGTCTAAGTACCATTCGAAAGTCGTCTGGCACTACTCTAACATCGCTTGTTTTAGTAACGGAAGTCTAAGTACCATCTGAAAGTCGTCTGGCACTACTCTAACATCGCTTGTTTTAGTAACGGAAGTCTAAGTACCATCTGAAAGTCGTCTGGCACTAATCTAGCATCGCACGTTGTGGTAATGGAAATCCAATGACCATCTGAAAGTCGTTTGGCACTAATCTAACTTAGCTCGTTGTTGTAACGGAAGTCTAAGTACCATCTGAAAGTCGTCTGGCACTAATGTAACATCGCTTGTTTTAGTAAAGGAAATAATAAAATAACCTGTTACTTGAATTACTTTTATAGCAATTGTTTAAATGTAAAGTGGAACTTTATATATTAGATATCTAGCTTAGACTATATTAATGTCATATTGAACTTGACAGAAGTGTAAGAACATTTTAATGTAATGTTGAACTTGACAGTAGTGTAAGAACATTTTTAAGTAATGTTGAACTTGACAGTAGTGTAAGAACATTTTAATGCCATGTTCAACTTGACAGAAGTGCAAGAACATTTTAATGTAATGTTGAACTTAACAGTAGTGTAAGACCGTTTTAATGTAATGTTGAACTTGACAGGAGAGTAAGAACGTTTTAATGTACTGTTCAACTTGACAGAAATGTGAGAATATTTTAATGCCATGTTCAACTTGACAGAAGTGCAAGAACATTTTAATGTAATGTTGAACTTGACAGTAAAGTAAGAACATTTTAATGTAATCTTGAACTTGACAGCAGTGTAAGAACATTTTAATGTAATCTTGAACTTGACAGTAGAGTAAGAACGTTTTAATGTAATGTTGAACTTGACAGCAGTGTAAGAACATTTTAATGTAATCTTGAACTTGACAGTAGAGTAAGAACGTTTTAATGTAATGTTGAACTTGACAGTAGAGTAAGAACGTTTTAATGTAATGTTGAACTTGACAGTAGAGTAAGAACATTTTAATGTAATCTTGAACTTAACAGTAGTGTAAGACCGTTTTAATGTAATGTTGAACTTGACAGGAGAGTAAGAACATTTTAATGTAATCTTGAACTTGACAGCAGTGTAAGAACATTTTAATGTAATCTTGAACTTGACAGTAATGCACATTATAAGATAGAACCAAAACGTTTTATATCTGTGTATTCCAATCAACATTTGAGTGCAACCAAGGTTTCAAGATCATTGACGTTTACATTTCCATCCTGTTTCAACTACTAAAGACCGAGTTTACTGCTGTCATGAAATAGTAACACAACTACTGATGTCGAAAAGAACTCAGTGTATATTTATTACAGCATATGTTTTAGCTCACTTCTACATAATGAAAACAAGATAATAGTAAATACTCTTTCACTACGAAATAGTTAAGAGGAGTGTATTTACACAAAATTGATGCTAACTAATGGCTCATACCTAAAGCCATATAAAGCTTATTTGAAGAACATCTGTCTCCGCCCTCCTACTTAACGCTGTACATTTTAAAGTAATACTTATTATCGTAAAGTACGTGATGAAAATTAGGCTTGATGACGGTGTTTTATATTTCTATAATACACTCGTAGTAGAATAGAGTGGCACCAAAAGGCGGATAGTTCCGTGAAGTGCTCTATCAGTCCGTTACGAATATCTTAGATGTATAGACAACAAAACTGGAATGATATTTGTTGATTTTTTAATTTAGAGTCTCCGTTAATGAAAGACGTTCGTTTTTATTACAAACGTTGGTTATATAACAGAAAACATAGCTTAATTCAGAAACGATTTAAGTTTAAAATTGAGTGGCACCAGAAGGCGGATAGTTCCTTGAAGTATTCTATCAGTCCGCTAAGATTATATTAAGTTTACCTTGTTTTTCGTTAAAACAGGAAAAACCTTTCATAATCACAGACGTCCATCAATATATCATATTCGGTTTTTAAGGACTGTTTGAATTTCTTCAATTCTTACAAAACTTCATTGTATAAAACGTTTCACCGGTATAATATCAGTCCATTGATATAATTATTATCGTAATTTTCACAAAAGCTGAGAGAAAACAGGATTTGATAAGATTATAATTGTGAGTTGGACGAGATTCGGGGGTAGCCGTCCATAATTTTGAATTGTCGATAAAAGGCATGGCAATCAGTAAGCAGCGCTCGTCGTTTACACAGTTATTCGTAACCGAATAATAGGATTGGCTGTCACTTTTATGAGCCCTTCACCACTGAAAGTGCGGAGCTTATTCTGAGGGATCATACCTTGGACCTTACTATCTACAGCGCGAAGCACTAGCTCTTTAGCCATATACAGATTAGTAAAAAGCCCATATACTTTTAGGTTCAGTTCATATATGTTAACACAGCAGCATTTATACAATTACTTCGGTAAAACTGTTTCATAACAAATCAATATGACTATATTAATGAAACATCAAAAAATGTATTTTTCAGTGAAACGTCGTCATAGCTACTTTCAAAACATTAGTGCAACTACTACCAGATAATATTAACACAGCTGTTTAATTGCTAAACGAATGCCTGCTGTTTTTCGATATTGTTACAACGTTATTAGGTTAATGTATCGTGAAGTTTGATGCTTTCTGAAACTGTACATGATTGAAGATTAATGCATCATGAAGCCTGATCATTTATTTATATTGTTACGACAGCGGAAGTCACGTGACGCTGGTAACACGTCATGAGATTGTAGAAAGATCATGTCCGTTCGTGAAGCCTCAAGTGTTCTCCAGACGCTCTCTATTTAGTATATAAGCCGGTAAATAAAGTGACGGCAATAGTTATTGAATTGAGACAGGCAGAGTTAGAGACGGACAATTGAATCAAGCGCGGTAAAATTTGTGAATCGTTCGTTGTAAATTATGGCGTGTGTTTAAGTTAAAGTGACTGTGGAAATTAAGTGTATTGCAATATTGAATTGAGAAAGAATAAACCAGTTTTGTTTGAGAAAGGACTTGTATCGCTGAAGTTCTTCGGAAAGAATTTTTACGAGTAATTAACAAACGACCAGAGACGTAACAATATTATACGTGATTGTTAGATTACTGTATCGCGAAGCGTCATGTTTTCGGATATTGTTACATTATTAGTTTAATGTATCATGAAGCCTGATCTTTTCTGATATTGTTACTAGATTGTTAGATTACTGTATCGCGAAGCGTCATGTTTTCGGATATTGTTACATTATTAGTTTAATGTATCGTGAAGCCTGATCTTTTCTGATATTGTTACTAGATTGTTAGATTACTGTATCGCGAAGCGTCATGTTTTCGGATATTGTTACATTATTAGCTTAATGTATCGTGAAGCCTAATCTTTTCTGATGTTATTGCAACATAATTAAAAGAATATTTCGGGAAACAGTGACGTTTCCTCATTATTAGATTATTGTATCTTGTAGCCTGATGTTCTTTTTGAGTGCAGTATTACAACATTATTAGACGAATTTATTGTGAACCCTGACGTTTTCTGATGCTTTGACAGCAGTATCAGATGAACTTGTAAAACCTGATATTTTTAGAATCGTTTTAAATTAAACTAACGCGCAGTACAATGTTTAATGATACTGTTAAAGAAGGTATGGTTAAATTTACCGCGCACTCTATCATATGCTAAACACCAAAGACTGGCGAAGCATTGAAACCAACAGGACTAACTTTCATGTTAAAAATCACGCTTTTATCCACGCTCCTCTTAATTAGTCCATTACGGATTTTAACATCGTAATGTAATAGTGTTTCGAAATATGGATGGACTTTTTCGTGTTGCGTGTGTGTGTCATGTCTAGCCTTGTCAACGATTTCAGGTATCATTGGGAAAGCCCCCTGGTCAGCGACTTGTTTCGGAAAATAAAATATATTGTTACGTCTCTGGTCGTTAGTTAATTTCCCGTATAATTTCTTTCCGAAGAAACTTTAGCGACACAAGTCCTTTCTTAAATAAAACTGGTTTATTCTTTCTCAATACAACTTTGCAATACACTTAATTTCCACAGTCACTTTAACTTAAACACACGCTTTAATTCACAACGATTCACGCACTTTACTTACGGTCACTACCGCTCACTGACTCGATTAACTGTGTCTATTATCTTCAATCTCTCTATCTGCTACTTCGACAGGTTCCTCGATCTTTCTAGAACTCCAGCGCATACTCCCAGCGTCGCGCGACTTCCGCTGTCGTAACAATATGATGCAAGCATTTTGAGCACAACATATTGAGTGGCTTGCCTCAAAAATTCGTGATTGGCTTGGCTGGTGTATGCATTAAGCGTGACTAATAAAAAGCCTCAAAATATCCGGGAAAGCCGTGAATATCGCAAACTGAAAACAGGAAGTCGCTGTAAAGAAAAAAAGGCTCGAAGTGCTGTAATATAAAACGTGGGGTAGACGAGGATATAGACTAAGGCTGTGACGAAAGCATACAGTTTCAATGTTATTCCTGATCTGTAAACGAAAGATGGTAAAATAGAAATTAAGTATAAAATAAAATTAATAAACCTTGAGTTAACTTAAAAATTGTTTTAAAACTAAGGCTTGAGTTAGATATCACATTTCATAAAGTGAAATCTGCAATGGTGATTAAAATAGTTAACCTTATTCATTAGAGTCTAACAATTATTTTTATTTTGATTCCTTTATTAGTTCTTTTAAATTTAGTGAACGGTTCCTTTCAGGGCTGGTATCAAAGGATCCAAAATCCCAAGGGGAAAATTTTGTTGTGGGAGGAAACGGGAGTGTCTCGAAAAACCCACTTTTACGACCAGGGCGCCGAATAAATTTACCCTGACTGTGCTCAGAAAAAAGGTGATGGGAAAAAAACAAGGGGTTACTAGAACCTGTTGATAACATAAAAAACTATTAAAATCTACTTGAAAGATGAAAAGTGGAAGTCAAGCTCGGAAAAGCTTGGTCGTAGTTGTCATCAGAGTCTGTTACATGGTGTCTATTATAAAAGTAGCTTGGCTTGCTGGTAGACGTCCATCGGTTGAAAGGGGTTAAAAGCCTCGGTCATGGGGTGCAGGGTGACTGGGACTGCTTGGTTGATGATCGTAGAAATCTATGGAAGTTAAAGATTCTTCGTCTGTCTGTAGTTTTCTATCTTTTTGGATGATGCGTGTCTGAAACTCTTGGCTGGAAGTTGGAAGGCTGTCTGTGGATGTTCAAGTATTAGACTTGGTGATCTGTGACATTTGGGTTTGGGCTGTATGTGTGTTCTGTAAATGCTTCTTGGCTGGTGGACTCTGGGTGAGCTTGTCTATGACGTCTGGTCTTTTATGTGATAGCTTTTTGACTGAAGTTGTCTGGGTGTATTTGTTTATGACCTGTGGTGATTGCTGTATTTGTTTCCTGACTGTTGTGGCTTGGGTAATCTTGACTGTGTGGTCTGGCTTGTTTATGTCAGCGGATGGTGGTGAGATCCTTGGCTCCAGTGGTCTATTGGCTATTAGTTAGTAGATGATCTGCTGTGGTTTTGGACAAAATGACAATCCTCATGAAGTGAATTGGTAGCCCCGTGGTTCTGGAACGAATGCGATGGATGGCATGGATAGCATAGTTTAATATTTTGAGAAGTGTGGAAAGTATTTCTTTAGGAGAGGTGGACTGGTTGGTGTCAGAAAAAAGGTGTGTTTTAGATCTTGGAGGGTTTCGAGTAACTGGTGGTGTAGAGTTCCATGCGGAATATAGGCAATCCATGTTAGCATGTGCGAGGGGTTGAATAAAAATTCTTCCCCTTCATAAAACTCTCATCTTGGTGGGATTGATGGCAGCATTGTGCTTGTGTTGCCTTAAAATTTTGGTTGTTCGATTGACATTTTTTGGTGCAACGCTACTGGGCTATCTGTGCCAAACAACCGGTAAAACTATCAGCAGAAAAACTATAAAATGTAAAAATATATCAAGTTAAAACTTAACAAAGCCCGAAAATCAGGTAAAAAACTTAAACAGAATTAAAAAGGCATATAATCTGCCAAAAATCTAAAAACGCACTGAAGCTGGACAGTGTCACCATCGCCAATGACACCATCCAACATCAGGGGTAAACACTAAAATGGTTCCACTGCTCACATTCGTTACAACGACACGAAAGTAACACATGGGCAATTGTGACCTGCGATGGAGCTCAGGATCAGGATGTAAGCCCTGTTGGTGGCAAAAGTGAATGTAAATGATCTTAGAGGAAGAGAAGGTGAAACCATTTGCTGTGGTCCACCCCTACAAATGAGTGAGAGCAGTCTGAAGCTGCTGCTAAATAAACCTCATGTTCGAAACTCCATGAAAAATACCATATCTCCAATTAGTGTCATAACCCTTTTTAAGATCAAAGTAGATAGAAACAAGATG